TCTGTGCTATCACTTCTGACTTGATTCTGATCTTTGCTAACTCTTGCTCTTTAATCAAACATCCAGTTTTTTATCCATTGATGGTGTTTGGCAGGCTCTGCTATAAATCTAATTCTATTTTTATTCTTTCTGGTTTCTTCATCAGTTTATCTTTTCAAAAAAACAGACTTTAATTTTTATAACCAAACGTAAGCATCAGAAGTAGGTTGTTATTTTTTTATGGTAGCAAACAGACAAGTCTTTACATTTTGTGCAGTCTTCCCATTTACAATTATTTTTTGTCTTTGAATGCTCAGAGATTTGTTAATTAAAAAAATTAATCTCTGGGAAGTTTTGCTGTTATTCTGAATCACTAGTACTTTTGGAAGCCTGATTGCCAAATAGATGGACCTATAACTAATTGAAAATGGTAGTTACAGATTCTCTAGGTAACATGATAAATTCTGACATTCTGCAAAACAGAATATGTAATGTTACTTTCTCAGATTTCCATGCATGAAATCAAATTCAAAGAAATTCATCTTGGACTTTAGAATGTAGTTCTTAACATGAAATCTACTATATTAAAATTTAAGCAGTTCATCATATACTAACTACACTCTAAATTGGATAAGATTATATCAGCATAGATAGGTTCTCTCTAAAACCTTTTTTAAAAGACTTTTACGTACTAGTTCTGTTCATTACAACAAAATCTTGAACCGTAAGAGAATCAATTCTCCTTGTAGATGGTAGTAATATGAGTCAATCTGCATTCCCAAGAAACTATTACAAAAGAGGTCAAAGAGAGATTTTTTTCAGTAAATGTTATTACACCAGAACTTTACAGAAGTCATTTCAGTAATTTCTTCTGTCAGAAGAAGGGAAGGAGATTATAGTATGTCATTTTATTTAAGGACGCTCTTTAACAGTAGTCTTCCTATTTTGCTGAGAAAGGACTCAGATGTTCATCTTTTTTTCCTTTGTTATTGAGCAGGAAAAAGTTACCAAGAGAAGCATGTTCTTAAATTATTATTTCATACGATTTTAGGAACTTCTTCCTGCTATGTAAGTGAAGTAACTCTGAGTCCCTTGCCAAAAGGAAAACCTTAATTTTCACAGTGGGCCATCTGTTTAACATTAAACTGACCTTTCATTTTGTGAATTGATTTCCGGAGGGGCAAGATTTCCTTCTCCCTGGAAGACTTTTCAGTTCTGTGCTTCATAATGCACTGAATGATTTTAGTAACTAGCAGTGCTTTTCCTGCCTGCACCCTCCCTCCCTCATTTAGGTTCATACGTTTTTATTTGATTGCTTCTGTTCTGCCCCCCTGCAAGAAACCTAAGTAATTGTCACAAAACCAGTTTGCTTCCTTTCTTAACATGCGATTTGTAAACATTTTTCTTTGTTTGGCTGGGGCTTCTTAGATGCAGAGAGTTGAGTTAATCTTATTTACTAACTTATTCATCTAAAAAGTACTGAAACCTCATTATGTGTCAGATACTCTGCATGGCACTAGAGGTCCAGAGTGACCTTTCTTCATATACTTTTTAGCTTTGTGTATCCTTCTGTAAATTGCCTACTCATATTTTTCATTCATTCCTTCTTTGAACCTGCTATTTCCTTGTTTTTGCAGAAGTTTCTTATTTTAGATATTAACCCTCTGACAGTTTTGGATGAAGAAATTATCTTTCCCAATGCATTTTTCACTGAATAGAAATCCTTTACTTGAATGAAGCTAAATTTGCTAGTGTTTTGTCTTTTGTGAATTTTTTTTAAGTTGTATTAGTTTTGCCTTTTAGGTTTATAATCCACCTGGAGTTTGTGTTCTATATACTGAGGTAGGCATCCAACTACTTTTGCCTATGTGGTAGGTTTTCCCAGCACAATCTGCTGAAGAATTTATCCTTTCCTACTGTTTTGAGAAACCATCTAGGTCATAGGATATTATCATTTATACATAGGTCTGTTTATAAGCTCCATCTTCTGTTACTAGATCTCTTTGTTTCTGCGCCAGCAGTGATCTGTCTTTATTACTTTGGCTCTGTGAGGTCTGTCCTAATACCTGGGAGAGAAAATTCCCAGCTATCCCACAAATACATAACATACTTTTATTCTTTCTTTGCAAAGTTACCTTAGCTTTCCACAGTCTAGTCTTGTCTGTCTTCCCTCCCTCCCTCCCACCCTTCCTCCTTTCCTCTTTTCCTCCCTTCCTTCTTTCCAACAGCTTCATTAAGATACAATTCCTATACAAGCAACATTTAAAATGCATGATTCAGGGGTGGAGTGCATGCCTAGCATGCATGACGTCCTAGGTTCAATCTCTAGTACCTCCATTAAAAATAACCGCACCCCCCCGCAAATACACACACACAAATAAAATGCATGATTCAGTGGCTTTAATATATTAACAAAGTTGTGCAACCACCACCCAAATCAAATTTAGAACATTTTTATTACCCCCCAAAAGAAATCCCATACTCATACTCCTTAGCTATTATTCTCAAACTCTCCCACGCTCCGCAGGCCTAGACAACCAGTAATCTCTTTCTGTATCTAGATTTGCTTATTCTAAACATTTCATATAAATAGAATCATAAGATAAATGATCTCTTTTGTGACTGGCTTCTTTCACTTGGCAGAACTTTTTCAAGATTCATCCACTGTGTAGCATGCATCAATACTTTGTTCCTTTTTTATGACTATATAAATTCCATTGTGTGGACATACCACCTTTTATCCATCTATCAGTTGATAATCTATTTGGGTGGTTTCTACCCTTCTTGGCTATTATGAATTATGCTCCTTTTAATGTATAAGTTTTTATGTAAAAATATATTTTTATTTCTCTAGTCTATACCTAGTAGAATTGCTTGTTCAAATGGTAATTCTGTGTTTAATTAAGTTTTTGAGGAACTGCCAAACTTTTCCAAATAGCTTCCCCATTTTCCTTCTACCAACAGTGTACAAAGGTTCCAATTTCTTCACATCCTTGTCAAGCCTTGTTTTTCTGCTTATAGGCATCCTAGGGGTTATGAAATAGTATCATTGTGGCTTTGAATTGCATTTTACTAATGACTAATGATGTTGAGCATCTTTTCATGTGTTTATTGGCCATTTGTATATCTTTGGGAATGTTTTTCAGATCCTTTGTCCATTTTTTAATTGGGTTTTTTGTTGTTATTACTCAAGAAATTCATATATTTTATCAAAGTTAATTTATTAATATGATTTTTTTTTACTTTTAAAACCTATGTCTGTAAGTCTGCTTTTTCATTTAGTATTTTGGGTTTTGCTTATCTTTTTCTCTTGGTAAGTCTTGTCTGAGTATTCTTTCCATAAAACAGTCATTATGAATTCAAGTTCCAGAGTCATTCTGTCACTTGTTAGTTCTACCACTTACCAGCTATGTGACCGCTGACAGCTTATGTAACTACTGTGTCTCTATTTCCTCAGTTGCAAAATGGTTGTAATGATAGTCTACATGTCAGAGGGTTGATGAAAGAATTAAATGAATTAATAGATAAAAAGTGTTTAGAACAGGACCTGACACTTAATAAGTACTCAGTTGCTATTAGTAGAGTGGAAGCCCTGTCTAAGAATCAGCTTTTTGGTCTATTAATTTCTCTGTTACTTTTTGTTGTCTATTCTATTGATAACAGCCCTTAATTTCTCATTTCTTATTTTATTGCTTTCACTCCTTGAATTTAACATGTTAATAAATATTCAAATCTAGACATTTGTAATGAATAACTATAACTACTTCAGGTGTACCCTATAAACTATCATTTTTATAGTAGTTATATCTGACTTATTAAGAGTCATATTCATGCTTTCCTTCTGTGTCTTAAGCTTATGATTATTAATATTCTGAAAAAGTCAAGTGACCAGTGTCCCAACACATTTTTACTTCTTGAATACTCTGTAACTCTTATTTCAATCCTCTCCATACTAGTATTCTCTGAAGTTTTGAATCTGGGTTGTTAGGGATATACTTTATTGCCTTTTTTCCCCCTCCATTGCTTACTTACAAAAAAAGATACATTAACTGTTTTCCTTTATTTGTCATATCTCAGATAGCTCATAGATTTCTCTTGGATTTCTTTTCCTTCTTGCTGGAGTTTTTCAAAGAGGGTCTTGTAAATGTCCTGAGTTTTTGTGTGCCTGCAGATATCTTTATTTTATCCTCCTATTAAAATGGTATTTTATTTCAGTGAAATTCTAGCTTCAAAGTGTTTTCCTTACTTTAAAACTATCCCTCCCATGTCTTCCAGATTCTAGTGTTGCTATTGGAAAGTTAGCTGTTCATCTGATTCTTGTTCCTTTGTAGCTAATCTTTTTGGGAACTTTCAGAATTTTGTTTCTGGCAGATTTAATATTTACTGTAATATGTCTAGCTGTGAAAGGTTTCTTAAATATCTATTTGGTATTTTGAGCTATTTCAATCTGAATTTTCTCTTTAGTTCTGAAAAATTCTTAGGTTGTCTTTATTTTCTCCTCTCTGATTTTTTGGGGGGACTTTAATGGTATTGATACTGGTATTTCTAGTTAAATTTTATATTGTCTATTCTCCTCAACCCTGATTTTCCAGCTTACTAATGTGTTCTTAAACTGTTAATGGTACTTGTACACAACCCATTGGTTTAGTTCTTTATTTCAGACACTGTTTTTTTAATACCAAGGATTCCAGTTGGATTTTTCTTTCTGACACTTTTTTTCTGCCTCATCTTTTTCCTCTCTCTCTCCCTCTCTTCTCTTTTTAAACAGGTTTACTATAACTTTAGATCCTTGTTTTGTCTGGTCCAAAAATTCTGCAGTACATTATTCAATTTGTTGCAGGACATGTGTACTCTCAGAAGTCTATCATTTTCCCTCTGTGATTATTCACTGCCTTGTCTCTTCAAGATTTTGTTGCCAAGAAATAACTAGTAAATGATATATTTTAATTCAGATGAGTTATATGAAACAAATTTGATTTAAATTATCTAAATTTTACAAGATATTTTAATGATTTATCAAGAATAAGATATTTTCTCACTTAGTAATTTGCTCAGCTCTGATCATGCTAAAACTTTGGTTTGTTTTATTTATATTTTCTATTGTGAAGTTTTTCACATTCACGGAAAAGGAGAGAATAACTTTTTTTTTAAGCAAGTCTATGTTGCTGCTCTATACCAGAAGAACTCTTATTAGGAAAGCAATAATTTGCAAGTTTTTATTATTAAGTGGATACCAGTTACCTGGGTTTAAGGCAGTGGAGGTGGAAATAATTTCTTCTACCATTAAGATCAGGTTATCTTTCATTAGACTGGACACTGACACTGCAGCTTTTTCTCCTGTCTACTTCTTTCCTTTGGTGTTCATTCCCTGAAGCATCTCTGCAGCATTATATATATATTCAGTCAGCAAGGTTTATTTCAAAATTATTATGGTATATTAAAGTCTTCATGTCCAAGAGGTAAATAATAGGAATATAGTCTAGCTATATCCACATTGCTTATTTTTCAAGCTTTTAATAGGCTGTTGAGGGTCAGCAGTTGAAGGCATGTAAAGTAATTGAGGCTGAGAAATAACCATAGGAAGATTATTAAACAGATAGGATGGATACACTGTACCTTCTGCCTCATCTTCTTCTAGTCATCTCCTTCTTTGGAACTGACCCTTTGAACTCTCTTCTGCCATCTTCCTTACCAGATCCTTTATCCTCCTGGCCAGGATAATAAATTTTTAGCCAAATTCTGTAGTAGACATTGCTAATTTATCACACATTCTTTGCCTGCCAAGCCCTGGACATGCCTTCGAATCCTTCTCAGCACGATGCTTCATGGAGCCAATTAGAGTTAGCACTAAAGGTGACACCTGGTTACCATTTCTTTTCTATCTGACTCTTGTTCCAACCAGAGTAAGACATTAACTTATTCAGGCTATATTTATTTTGAAGGCTGAAAAGGAATAAAGATAAAATAGCAAGTAAAGATGTTTCACTTCAGCCAAGAGACATTTCTCTGCCTTTCCTTTGCTCATCTTTTAAAGCCTTTTATGTCATTCCTGCCTTTGCTGCTTCTCTCTCTGTGCAGTTTCTGCTGCTTCTTTCCACCTTATTAGTTTACACTGGGCAGTTAACATATTTGTATTAAGCAGTATAAACCACATTTTGATTCAGTAATTAAAGAGGCATTCTTTCTTTGTGTATGTTCTCAATTCTTTTGTCACTCTTCTGAGGTGATTTCTTCTCATTTTTTGGTATAATGAAGTATTTTTCCCCCCCCATCCTTGTATTTAGATTTTTTTTTTCCAAAGAAAATTAGGTGCCACCAAACCTCTGGGAGGTGTTTGTTTTGAATGTCTTCTACCTGGAACTAAGCAATGGTCTACTACTGCTAAAAAGATAGGAATTTGAGAAAGAATAAGATAGAAGGAAATGCTGGTAAGGCAGGCAAGTAGTACTTTGTTTTTGTTCCTGAGTTAATATGAACAATGGCTACTTTTAAAGTATTAATAAAAAAGACATAGGATAAAGTGGACCATTTCAGAGTGTGCAAACTATATGGTCATTATTATGTTAAATGTATTTTTGTTCTTCACAACCA